ACGAGAAAACTATTTCAGGTGGTGCAGGGAAAACAGTGGCTTGCCTCGCGCTACGCCTTTCCATGCATGGGTTGGTGGTTAAACTTAGTCGGCTCAAGTTTCGCTGTTGTGCTCTCTGGCAAGGGCGTGTGAACACTTTGGAAATGTTGATCGCAAGTCTTGCTGAACCGTTGCGATACCGAAGTGGTAGCTGAGCTTTACTGATGGCCTTGTGGACATAGAGCCAAAATCGTCTATAAGGTCTAAGGCCTTATGAATGATCTATACGGTCTAAAGGCCTCTGGTGGTAGGGTCCGTCTTGCGGAAAGCCAACTTCTTCTTCTTCTCCGTCAACTGATCGATCTCGTTCAGCTGGTGTAAAAATAGGTCTACCCACCTGGTGTCGACCAGCTTGGTCACCTGGCTCTCGGATTCGGACGGCAGCGTGTGGGTGGCAAACACTGCAAAGGGGGGTGGATCCTCCAAGGGCATCGAAGCGGCCACAACCCAACTGCCCCTGTCGATAGAGAGCTGGTCGCCCTGGCATAACAAGAGACAAGCCCGAGCACGAGCTTCTTCGGGCTGCTGATCTCTCAAGGCATCCAAGATACCAGCAATACCCCACAGCAGGGTCACTGGGGTCCTGTAGTTCTGCACCCTGGACCGAGCTTCTAGCCATGCTCTTGCGCTGACAGGCACGACAGGGGCGCCTGCGACTCCTGTTCGTCGGAGCTGGAAGTCTTCCTCCATGTTCTGCTCGATGACCTTCGATATGAGCTCCGGCTCTTTCCTCAGAGTCTTCTTCAATGCTCGAAGAGCAACAGCGTTTTTGCGAGATGAAGGCATCCCTGAGCTTTTGGAGGTACCTTGGGAGCCAGACCCGTCGAGGAGGGCTTCTAAGGAGTTGTCCCGCCGCTTCTGAGTCGCCAGATGCTGAGTAATTGCCGTCAATTTCGTCAAGGCTGCCACCATCGGATCCACCCCCGGGTCTCCCCCCGGTTGATCAGCTAAGGCTTCGACTGCTTGAATCTCATCCTCACTTTCGGAAAGCGGATCTCTAGGCTTTGGTGCGGCAGTCTTCGGCAGGTCTGGCAAGTTCGGCCTGCCCTTGGAAGCTAACCGAAACATCTCTTCCAACTGGGCCGCAGGGATCCCGGCAGCGAGAGCGGCCTGAGTGACCGCAGGGTCCAACCCTGCAAACGAGGGAGCTGGTGCACTCTGAGCTTTAGGTCGAGCGCCGGAGACACCCTCCGCAGGGGCAGCACTTTGTTTGGCTTGCGTTTGCATTCGGAGCAAGGCTTCAAGCTGCCCATGAATTCTTGAAAGGCTGGACTCCAGGGCAGTGACTCGCTTGGTAAGGTCCTCAGGCGGCACAGACTCAAAAGAGCTCAGATCAGCACGTAGGCCATAATGCTTGTCTGCCAAGTCAGCCAAACTTGAAGCTAACGGCAAGATGAGTTGGTCCTCATCAAAAGTAATGTCCAAGTCAGCATCTCCCGATCCTTCAAATGAGATCGTCTCCTCATGTTATAACCAAAGCTTTGAATTCTCTGAGGCGGCAGCAGGGTCTCGCGAAGGAGCAACTGCCACATCACATAGCATAGGCTTTGCCAAAAAGGAACTGGGGAGCCGCCGCCGGGCCACGATCCGGTGCCAAGCCGTCTGAGGCACTGCCACCAAAAATGTCCCAGCTTTCTCTCCCACACAAATTAAGGCAACCCGAATCGGTTCCCCTGTCGATGAAATGACTTCGCAAACACCAACAGGATACTCGTCTTCAAGTTTGCCAGTCTCATTCGCTAGCACTGCACAAGCCCGCAACATGTCGGATGCAGAGGCGGGCTCACCATCGAACTCATCTGCTTCTGCCATCACGCAGGCCAGTTGAGGCCTGCCTGCTCAACCGCTACCCGAGCCCCCCACTGAGTGGGGAGGCCAATGAAAATGGACTCTCCGAGAAAATCTCCGTCTCGCACCAAAGGCTTCAAAGCAGCGAAGGAGTCGTAGATGCCCACTGGATCGTAAAAGCGACCTTCGAGATCGCGAACTAGCACGTACACTCTGGACGGCAAACTAAGCTGCCGCCGACCCGACGGGCGGGGTTGCGGCCTTCCACGCACCTTCTCAGGTAGGCTCCCACGTCACGAGCAACCTTCCTCCGAAAATCGTCTGAATACTGGCTAGCACTGCCGCGGCCAGAAGGGGTCGTCGACACTACCGGCTCAGGGGCTTGAACGGATGCACTGATGATCGAAGTCTGACGAGGCTCCGGACTCTCGGGCTGCACGTAGTTCACAGTGACCGGGACTACCGTAGAAGGCGCCGGCTCGGTCCGGCCTAGTGCAACTTGCCTCTCTAACTTGGCGACTCTCTCGCAGGTCCAGCAACTCAGTCCTAAGTAACACCAACTCGTCCTGCGGCAACTGGCTCATGCAAGTCGGGCTCTAGCAACAACTGAGTTTCGCAGCCAGAAAGTCTGGTTGCGCAAATGAGCAGTCCAGACTGCTCGAAGCAGAACAAGCCACTCGAACACCTGACCAAAAAGGAGTCCAAGGAGTATACCCAGGATCAAAGAGGGCCAATGAAAGTGGAGGTCTTCACAAATGCAGGGCAGAGGGGGATACGGACTATCCCGGAAGAGCGAGGCAACAGCGGCAGCCACCAAACCACTTTGCGCGGTCTGGGTAGACACGAGGCTCATGAACTTTGGGCCGCCGAATGAGCTGCGGCCAGGAAAGCATTCGATCATACGAAATAAAATGTTATAAGTGATTGTCCGTCACTGTCGATGACGCCACGAATTGATGCAATTGCTGGACATGTTGCTGCAATCATCTGAAAATTCCGTCTTACTACTGTATATCTCATTCTCTCGTTGCTGGGTGAACTACAGGTTTTGAGGATGGTCCGGAACAAAGCCTTTGCTTTCCACATCAGAATTGCAAACCTTGAGCTCTCCGGCTCAAAGGCACACAAAGGGAATCCACCAGTGTGATCTCATTTTCACTGCATCACTCATTGATCGGGACCTACATATATATATATACATACATACACACTTATTTTAGAGAATTACCCATGCTTACCCCTGCCCCCCTGTTTTATTTAGATATACTGTATTTAGAATGCATTTATACAAGCATTAATTACACTTCTCTGGCAACACCAGTTTACAGTTTACTACATCATCATGAGAAGGTTTTGATGTACAAAAACATGGTGCTTGGCAATTCTCGGGTGTTTTGAACTTCACCAGGCTAGAAAGGATAAAAAGGGATCCACCCGCGCTCCATACCTGCTTCCACTACCATATCTTGTCCATTCATATTTCTGATGCGCCCTCCCACTGCCGCACCCTGCCGCACCCCAGCTTTGGCAACAAACAAGCAACACCTCGCCCATGAATTGCACTCTACTGCAATCAAACAAGCCAACACCCAATCGATCGAACTCTACGACTCTACGAATGAATTGCCAAAGTATGCACAAATGCCTTTTTTGTAAGTGGTTTCAGCAGCATTTGCATGACACTACTTCAATCCAGCCTTAGATGTCCTGGCTATGTCTCCTTACACTTTCTGGCCTCCGTGCGCATTCTGGCCATGCTCATGTGTGTTTCCTCAACACCTGCGCGTCTCAGAAACATCAGGTTGGCGGGGACACTTGCAAGAATCAAATTTCTGGTGCAAACGGCCTTTGGTTGCGTTTCTCTCACATAAATGTACCGATTGTCTGCTGCATATTTATTTCGAACATTCTAGAAAATCGATCTTGTCTTTTTCATTCTTTTTCTGAGGCTTCCTCTCGCATAGTGTTTCTTGCGGTTGCTTGATTGGATAGTTCTTGCAACTCAGGACAGCAGCTAACCACTGTGTTCAAATCAAAGGCTCCCGTTTTGGACTCATTCTGTGAATTCTTATCGTGTTGGATTAAAGTGCATGATTGTACTGGGAAGAAGGCTTAAGGTGGGAGTGGCCAAAAAGTTCGGGTCCTACCTGCCTAACTTGGCTACCAGCTACAAGTACTTTGATAGGTGGCTGGCTGATTCCACCCAGGACCCAAAGCATATACAGGTCAGTAGAAAAGAACATGATAGAAAATTGTTTCTCACGGCAGGCATGGGCATCGAAAGCAAGCTGCTGTCAAATCTTTTACAAAAGTGTGAGCCCGGTCCGGTGCTAGAATCAAGGCCCTGAAGGAATCGGAATCGTGCCATAAAGATCCATGAAGTATGGATGATTCACGCTGCAAAATTCAGTGGAATGTGCAACAATTTGGAATCTGGAACATCCAGTTACTTGGCAAGCAAAGCACTTTGGAAGGTCCAATGTTGAGGCAGCCTTGCGCGACATGCTACAGGAGTCTCAGGTTTGGTGCAGCTGCACTTTGTTTGGTAACCTACAGGTTCGTGGCAAAGCGCCTTCAATCGAGTTTCACGTGCGGTCAACTGAGGTAGAAAAAACATGGTACGAAAATCATGATCCCAACAGCAAATCGTATGATTTACAAGCGGCGGTCTTCATATGTGGTGATGGCGGCAACCATGGTAGTAGCAGTAGTAGTAGTGGTAGTAGTCGTACCAATAACAAAGACACAGCAGTAGCAGCAGCAGCAGCGGCAGGAGTAGTAGTAGTAGTAGTAGTAGTAGAAGTAGACGTAGTCAGTAGTAGTGGTCATTCTGACTGAAATGCGGATGTCGTTCAGAGGTCGTTTTTTCGCCGAGAAATCTGGCTAAATACCGTCCATCGAAAGTGAGCAGCAGCAGCAGCAGCAGCAGGAGCAGCAGGAGAAGGAGCAGCAGCAGCAGCAGCAGGAGCAGCACCAGCAGCAGCACCAGCAGCAGCAGCAGCAGGAGGAGCAGGAGGAGCAGGAGCAGCAGAAGGAGCAGGAGCAGCAGGAGGAACAGGAGCAACAGCAGGAGCAGGAAGAGCAAGAGCAGCAGCAGCAAATACATGATGTACGTAGTTAAGGAGGTCGTTCCAATGTCGTTTTGGATGTCGTCCGGAGGGTCGCTCCCCAACTAAATAACACATTCCACAAAGACAAAAAACATCAGAAATAGCTGCGGTGGTGCGTGGAATTCTGAACGAAAAATCCACCCCCACTAACTTTACATCAATCCACCTTTTTTTCTGGCTCAACTGAGCCTTGCTTATCTGGTGGTATGGCATAGCCCTTGGCACTTCAGCTCTCCATACTCTGCAAAGCCCAGGCACTCTGTTGAAGCATTGCGCCAAGACGATGTTGTAGCTCTCGACTCTGCAGGTTTTGCTGCTCCAAATGTTGCGTGGTCTTGTGCTGCCTAAGTGAACTACACGGCCTCCTTTCAAGAGAACAGTCTAACAAAATGCGCACAAAATGCAAACCATGCACTTGCCTAGAATCTAGAACAATGCAGCTTCCAGTTTCCAAACAAAAAGGGCAAATCTCACCGTGACATCTTTCAGGAGGTGAATCACAAAGGTTGGAAGAAAATGACTGAATGCAAAGCACAACACCTTATTGAAAGCCAAAAATTGCAGACATTTCAGATATTTATATATGTAACCGTCGCGTGCGCAATGAACATCAATGAGCATACCATGAAATTTGCGTCTCAGCGTGGCACTCTTGCTTTATTTGATCCACCTCCTGAGGAACAACACAGAAAGAAAGGACCTCAAAGGGTAAGCCGTAAGCCTCACAATGGCTATTGCAGAATCACAGCTATCCACACGGTTTCACCTGCGTGAGCAATGGAAGCGAAACCAAGCCGCGAAACCAGTTGCGATTGTAACCTTTGTAACGTCCTTTCTCGGTGCGATTGCTCTCGAGTCGCTAGGCCAAATCCGCCACATTAGGGGTCGGCTGCTAGCAGTTCAATGAAGTTCGCGTGAGTCATTGTCAGTCATTGAATGACATACAGTATGTTCCAAACAGCCACACGTACGAAGTGGCCACAATTCATTCGGCAAGCTGTATGTTCTCGTTCGCACCTCTCCCGCACTCGCCAAACGCCACCAGACCAAAAGTGGAGCTGCTACAAAAGCAGCCACAGGTTCATCTTAATAAGCACCTTCACGGCACCGTTCTGCACAATGCGTATCAAAACATCGCTTAACAAATTTCGCCCAAGGCCCTCCAGGATGAACTATTTGAAGGATTTGAGTCCGCAATTGGCAGGGGGCCGCAAAGCAAAATCCTGGCCACCTGCCTAGCACGAGCGTCTGCACTGCAAGCCTGCCAACGATGGTTTCTGCTTGCAGGCTCGTCGGCAACCACTGGCAAATCACAACGGATACCTTGGCACTTGGAAACTCAAAAACACTTTTTGGAAACTCAAAGGGCAACAGCATAGAATTAGGTTCAAGTGGCTAGGTCCAGGTAAGTGGTGGAACTGTGGGACATGACATTTAAGGCATCATTGCGGGCATCGCTCCAGACTTTCAAGTAAATCAAAACCAATAGTTCAATTGATGCTGCAAAAGGAAAAAACCGGTCTTTTTAAGGGATTCCTGCCCGGCCACTAAAAAAAGCCGGCGCTCCACTCCGGCTGCGCGCGGTGATCAATCCACCGATGGTGGGTCAATCCAGCCGGGGTTTCCTTGTGGGGTCTCCGAGTTTTTCTCGCCCTCACCACCGCCACCACCACCAACAACAACTGCATCAACTGCAACAACATCTGCAATTACAACTGCAACAACAACAACTACTACTACTATTACTACTACTACTACTACTACTACTCCTGCTGCTGCTGCTGCTGCCACCACCACCACCACGACTGCGGCGACAACGGCGAAAACTTCTATATACTATTATTGCTATAAAAAAAATATTACAACGACTACTACTACTACTACTTCTACTACTACTACTACTACTACTACTAGGACTACCACTACAACAACTACTACTACTACTAATACTCCTCCTGCTGCTGCTGCTACTGCTGCTGCTGCTACTGCAACTGCTAGGGCTACTACTACTGTTGCTACTACTACTACTACAACTACTACTACTGTTGCTACTACTACTGCTACTACTGCTGCGACTCCTGCTACCACTACTCCTCTTGCTGCTGCTGCTACTACCACCGCCACTACCACTACCACGGCCTCTACCACTTCTGCTGCCCCTACGACTACGAATACGACTAGTACTACGACTACGAAAACGATGACTATCTACTATCTACTATCTACTACCTACTACTACTACTCCTCCTCCTGCCGCTGCTGCTGCTGCTGCTCCTGCTGCTGCTGCTGGTGCTGCACTCGTACTACTACTACTACGACGACGACGACCACTACTACTGCTACTACGACAACTACCACTAACCACTACTACCACTACCACTACTACTTCTACTACTACTACTACTACTACTACTACTACCACGACTACGACTACCACTACCTACTACCACTACCACTACTGCTACTACTGCTACTACTTTTGCTTTTACTTGTCCTTTTACTTTTAGTTTTACTTTTGTTTCTACGACTATTACTACCTACCTACCTACCGACCGACCCACCCACCTATACCTACTACTACTACCACGACTACCATCCACTACCAATTACTGCCCAGGCCGACTTCATCAACCGATCACTATTTCTACTACTACCACTGCCACCATTACTGCTACTACTTCTCCTACTACCACTACCACAGCTACAACGACGACGGCTACTACTGTTGCTACTGCCACCAGCGGTACTACTGCCACCACAACTGCCACAGCGACAATACTAGTACCGGTGCTACAACGACGGCGGCGGCGACAATGACCAACACAAACACCAATCTTGCGATGCAGTAGCACAACTACTGCCACGGCTACTGCCAGTACTGGTACTTGTTGGATCTTGTTGGCCTGTTCTTTTAATTCCGAGTACCTATTAAAAAAAGGACCCGTATTTAAAGAGAGCTCGAAGTTATGCGGGTGTGGTTTTTACGCGTTTTTGTCGTGTTTTTCTTAGATTAGAGGAGATGACCTGATGATGTATGATGTGATGTCGTGGACTTGCTGGTAGATGATGGTTGATGTTGACATTTTTGCTAGACACGTTCTTCAATACAACCAACATTTTCCAAAAATCGCAGAAAACCCCAAACCACAAAAACGCGTAAAAACCACACCCGTATAACTTCGTTTTCTCTATTTAAATTAGTTTACTTCGAGCGATCCCTACCATGACATTTCACAACAACCACGTTGACATAACCCTCGTTGTGTATTTCAGCCCACAGCACAAGCTCTTCAGCGCCAAGTCTTGTCTTGTCCGAAGCGAATGCTTTCATCAGGAGACCTGTGCCCAACTAATACAACTTAGATCATTTCAACTGGGAAACTTCCAGGGCCGAGCAGTAGTAATAGTAGTAGTAGTAGTACTGCGGTGGTAGTAGCAATATAGTGCACAGATCGGGGGCCCGACCTTCAGGGCCCGAACCTTGGAAACGTCCGGGGCCCTAGTAGTAGTAGTAGTAGTAGTAGTAGTAGTAGTAGTCGTCGTCGTCGTCGTCGTCGTCGTAGTCGTAGTCGTAGTCGTAGTAGTAGTAGTAGTAGTAGTAGTGGTAGTGGTAGTAGTAGTAGTAGTAGTATTAAAAGCAGTAGTAGTCGTCGTAGTAGTAGTCGTCGTGTTAGTGGTAGTGGTAGTGGTAGTGGTGGTGGTAGTGGTGGTAGTAGTAGTAGTAGTCGTCGTAGTCGTAGTAGTAGTGGTAGTGGTAGTGGTTGTGGTGTGGTAGTAGTAGCAATAGTAGTGCACAGTTCGGGGCCCGAGCTTCGGGGCCCGAAACTTGGAAGCTTCCGGGGCCCGAGTAGTAGGAGTGGTAATACGTACATTGCTTGCTGTAGGATGTTGCCTGTCTCAAGTCTGTTTGCAAACAGCTGCACCAGCAGATATGGAATTCCGTCCGGCCACAGTGGTTGTGCGTTTGTGGTTGTGTGCTGTGGTTGTGTTTGCGGTTGTGTGTTTGTGGTTGTGTTTGTCTTTATGTGTTTGTGATTGTCTCTTTGTAGTTGTGTTTGTATTTGCGTGTTTGTGTCTCTGTGTTTCTGATTGTGTTTGTGGTTGTGTGATTGTTGTTGTGTTTGTGGTTGTGTTTGTGGTTGTGTGTTTGTGGTTGTGATCGTGGTTGTGTGTTTGTGGTTGTGTGTTTGGGGTTGCGCGTTTGTGGTTGTGTGTTTGTAGTTGCGCGTTTGCGGTTGTGTGTTTGTAGTTGTGCGTTTGTGGTTGTGCGTTTGTAGTTGTGTGTGGTTGTGTGTTTGTGGTTGTGTTCGGGGTTGTGTGTTTGTGGTTGTGTGTTTGTGGTTGTGTGTGTGGTTTTGTGTTTGTGTGTTTGTGGTTGTGTTTGTGGTTGTGTGTTTGTCGTTGTGTGTGTGGTTGTGTGTTTGCGATTGTCTCTTTGTAGTTGCGTTTGTAGTTGTGCGTTTATGGTTGTGTGTTTGTGGTTGTGTTTGTGGTTGTGTTCTGTGGTTGTGTTTGTGGTTGTGTGTTTGTTGTTGTGTGTTTGTGGTTGTGTTTGTCGTTATGTGTTTGTGATTGTCTCTTGTCAGATTATTGTTCTGTTTGTGGTTGCGTGTTTGTAATTGTGTCTGTGGTTGTGTGTTTGCGATTGTCTCTTCGTAGTTGTGTTTGTAGTTGTGCGTTTGTTGTTGTGCGTTTGTGGTTGTTGTTGTTGTGCGTTTGTGGTTGTGTTTGTGGTTGTGTTTGTGGTTGTGTTCTGTTTGTTGTTTTGTGTTTTTGTTTGTCTCTTGGTAGTTGCGATTGTAGTTGTGTGTTTGTGATTGTGATTGTGTTTGAGATTGTGTGTTTCTGATTGCGTTTGTGGTTGTGTGTTTGTGCTTGTGTTTGTGGTTATGTGCTTGCGGTTGTGTTTGTGGGTGTGTGTCTGTGGCTGTGTTTGTGGTTGTGTGTTTGTGGTTGTGTGTTTGTGGTTGTGATCGCGGTTGTGTGTTTGTGGTTGTGTTTGTGGTTGTGTGTTTGCGGCTATGTGTTTGTGGCTGTGTTTGTGGTTGTGTGTTTGTGGTTCTGTGTTTGTGGTTGTGTCCTGTGGTTGTGTTTGTGGTTGTGTGTTTGCGGTTGTGTGTTTGTGGTTCTGTGTGTTGTGTTCTGTGGTCGTGTTTGTGGTTGTGTTTGTGGTTGTGTTTGTGGGTGTGTGTTTGTTGAGGTCCAGCGGTGCTCACTGCGATCGGGCCATGGCGGTTGAGGTCCAGCGGTGCTCACTGCGATCGGACCCTGGCAGTCGAGGTCCAGCGGTGCTCACTGCGATCGGACCCTGGCAGTTGAGGTCCAGCGGTGCTCACTGCGATCGGGCCATGGCCGTTGAGGTCCAGCGGTGCTCACTGCGATCGAGCCCTGGCACTTGAGGTACAGCAGTGCTCACTGCGATCGGACCCCGGCAGTTGAGGTCCAGCGGTGCTCACTGCGACCCGGAGCTTCGTGAAGAAGGTTGGCGAAGAAGTTTGGCGACGACGATTGGCGCAGAGGATGGAATGGAGGAGGAGGAGGAGGAGCACCCAGCGGAATAGGAGGAGAAGGAGGATGAACTCTGATAAAGTCTAAGAATCCTCACCTGGCAGGTGGGGAAAAAAGTCATGTCGGAAACCCCTAAATAAGGATGATAATTCGTTTTTAAATTAC